TTGACCATTTGCATTTGATCAAATGCCTCACTCATGCTATCCATAGAGGCAACTCAATTCCAATCCCACTGAGATCTCTTCTGAACTTGTGAATCACTTCCTTGTGACCTTGACTAAGTAGGCGAGACGAGGAAGCGGCAACCGGTTGATAAGGATCAAGCAAAACAGGCTGTCGGACAGAAGAGGTCGGACTCGATCGAGCTAGAGTTGGACTCGATCGAGCTGCCGATCGAGCTTGTCGTGCGAGCTCAACTGGTGAAGTGTGAATGGCCACAGTAGGTGCATGCACTTCTGGTTGATCAATCTGGACTCCAGGAGCCTCAGCAGCAACAATCTCTTCATCATTCAGCAGTAAACAAAAATCTTCAATGACCCTTTCTTGATCCTCTTCTTCAACAAGTCCTTCTTGAGTGAAGATGACCTTGCACTGTTCCTTGGGGTTCTGAATAGCTTTACCAGGTAGTTGTCCTTGCTTTGTAGCAGCAGCAACAGAAGAAGCATGATTCTCCAGAGAGTAAACCCTTGTGTTGAGGTTCTCGATCTTAGAGTTTATTTCAGCTAGCTTCTTGCTTGTGTCCACTACCCCATCAGCTTGCCCTTGAAGTAGTTGCTTTAGCATTGCCTTTGAGCTCATTCTCTTGTGAAGGTGCAGGCTGGGGCGGTTGGTGGGGGAAGCCTGGTGGGATATTCATTTGTTGTCCAGGGAAAGTGCCTTGTGGTCCTTGGTAATTGTTCTTTTGACCATACCCATGTTGTGGCACCTTGACTCGATCGAGCTGCTTGTTGTTGAGGATATACTTGGTCCTGAGGGTTAGCAACATCAGTGTTGCGGTATGACATGGCAGGGTTGGACTTGTAGTTATAGTATCCTTTGTTGTAACCTCCTTGCCCATTGCTCATGTAGCACACCTCAGCAAATTGTGTATCCTCCCCTTCTTGGACTGGTTCCATCTCCTCAGCAGACACAAAGTTGACTTTCTTCATTGTGGACTGAGCTAGGATCAGCTTATCCAACTTCTCATTCAATGCCTTAACATCTTTTCTCAACTTTTCGTCTGACTCGATCGAGTGGTGGGTCGAGCTCCGGTTGGTGCGATCATACTCTTCTCCATAGCTTCCATTTGAGTTAGCTATGTTCTCCACAAGTTGCCAGCCATCATCTACATCCTGGTTGAGGAAGTTCCCATTGCTAGCTGTGTCTAGCATCTCCCTATACCTAGGCAAGCATCCTCTATAAAGAGTGGAGAGTAGTGATTCATTGTTGAATCCATGGTGTGGGCACTGACTTGTGTAGCCTTTGAACCTCTCCCAAGCCTCTGCGAATGTCTCATTGTTTCGCTGGATGAAGCTGGATATCTCTCCTCTAAGCTTGGCTGTGCGACCGGTGGAGAAAAACTTAGCAAGAAAGGCCTTCTTGCATTCATCCCAAGTGGTGATTGTGCCATGGGGCAAGCTCTTCTCCCATTGGTGAGCTTTGTCAGCTAGAGACATAGGAAAGAGTCTCAGCTTGATGGCATCTTCAGAGACACCATTGATCTTTGTCAAATCACAAAGCCTATCAAACTCATCAAGGTGGTCAATGGGGTCTTCACTTGGCAATCCATGGAACATCTTGTTCTGGACAAGGTTGATCATTCCCAGCTTGATCTCAAAGTTGTGGTTCTGCACTGGTGGTGGAACAATCCCTTGTCTCTGTTGGTGGCGGTTTGGAGCATCTCCTTGACCAATCGGTCGAGTTTGCCTAGCTCGACCGAGTCCATGCCCAAAGGGTTTCCATTCCCCTCTGGTACATCCATTGTATCAGCAACAAGCACCTCAGGTTCCTCTTGTACCCTCTGTGACCTCTGAACCCTCTTTCTACCCGTTGTAAAGTCTAGCTCGACCAAGTCTTCTTGACCGACTCGATCGAGTTCGCATACACCTGCAAAAAGAGACAAAAACCCAGCAGTACAATAGAACAGGGGTGGTATAGCTTGATCGTCCAAGTGTGTTTGAAACTCAAATGCAACAAAAATATTCCCAAATCGGCAACGGCGCCAAATTGATGATAGGATTTGTGTGTGGATGTGAAAGATATGAAATGAAATGAGTGGTGGAATGCAACAGTGGTAATGATGGTGGTAAGATGCAAACACAAACACAGTCAACAATTCCCTTTAACCATCATAGTTGTAGTACAAAGGGTTATCAATCCAAAATGGGAAACTTGTCACTCTATGAGAATATGAAACAACCAGAAAGTCAAGCAAGCAGTTATGATTTGAAGTAACACTAACAACCTAAATAATGAAAATGCAGTGCAATAAAAGTAAACAAAGCAGTGAAGTGTCAGCTCGACCAAGAGCTCGAGAGTCAGAAGTACCAGCTCGATCGAGTTTAGGGACGAGTTGAGACGACTTTAACAAGATAAAGAGAGAATTAGGGTTCAAGACAGGGTTTTGCAATCAAAGGAATCTACACTTAATCAATCTAGCTCTTAAAACTCCTTGTATCAAGGCTTCTCTTGATATTGGGCTTCTCAATGCCTAGCCAACCCTTTCCCAAGGTGGAGGCTATCAACCAAGGAATGATCTCAGAAACAGGGGGTTAGCCAGTGAGAATCAAACCTTGGAGGCTATAGGATCATTGCCCAAACTAATCCATCCAACCCCTTAGACCTCTATTGTCTAGAGCAAGAGATATTGGAGCTCTTAGTGGATCTTTTCCAGCGAATGCCATCACTTCGTGTGGGGAGTCGCCTAAGGACTTACAAGCCAGGGGTAGTGGTCATGTAGCCTTAAGATCTATCCAAAAGAGAGAGAATCTAGATTAAGACCATAAGCTAGAAGGATTAAGCATATGAAACCTCTAATCTATCCCATCTCAAACCCTAATGGGTAACTACTCACTACACATGAATGTAAACACAAGCAAATGCAATAAAAGAGACATCATAAGAAAGAGGAGATGAAATTAAACAACTTTTATTGAAATAAGCAAGTGCAAATACAAAGAGATTATCCAGGATCTAGGATTCAAGAAGCAAGAGCTTCAAGAACACAAAGATGGGATTAGTTCTAAAAAGTAAAAGACAATAAATTAAAAGAAACTAAAACAAAATAATCTAAAGCTTGGTGGTTTTTTCGTGGCTTAGAGCCTTTAAATACAAAGAGGATTAGGTTTAGGGTCAAAGGAAAGTCAAGGGGGAAGCAACATTTTTCGGGTTTGACTTTGACTTCTCAGCTCGATCGAGTTGAAGCTTGGCCGGTCGAGTTGAGGAACTCGACCGGTTGGTCGAGTAGACGGTCGAGCTGGTCTTCAAGATGGCTTCTCCCTTCTTCCTTTGCGTATCCAGTTGAGCTGCTTCCATGTGCCAAGTCCCTCCATGCTCCTCATGTCCCATATGCTCCAGAATGCTCCAAAAGACCTATTTCAAAGGACCAAACATGCATATGTATGCAAATGCAACCTAAAACTAACATGAATGCATAAGAAGAGAAAAGGAACAAGATATGATGCAAATGGAAGCTAAAACTATGCAAAAGATGCATAAAAGATGTGCTAAAACTATGTAAAATGCAAGTACATCAGTGGTTGTGAATGTAAAAAGAAAGATGTAACCTGATTTTGTGTTACTTGAAGAATGGTGAATGCAGTGGAATGATGGTAGTGATGGAATGCAAGTGTGGTGAGGTGGGATGGGTGAGATGCAGATGGAATGAGATGGGATGGTGTGTTGGGCGGCTTGAGAGGACATGGGCGAGCGTGGAGAGGTTCTGCTCGGCCATCAAGTCGCGCCAACTATGAACATTCTTCTTGTGGTATATCTTCTTTACCATTGTGTGGTTCTTAGATTCCTGTATCCAAAACTCAAAACAAAACTAGACATTAACTAAAACTAATTGAAAAGAAAAGTAAAGAAAAACACCTTTCATGGGTTGCCTCCCATGCAGCGCTTCTTTTGAGTCATTAGCTTGACTGATAGGATCTCTTAGTTGGAGATGGGGTAAGGGCACGGCCTGAGACATAGTCTTTTAGTTCTTGTCTCATTGTGACCTTGAGTGTGGTCTGGTGGCTCTCTTGGGCGGCCTTGGGCAGTGATGAGGTAAGACAGCTTGTTTGGTGAGATGAATGGTATGGTCTTGTAAAAGACTGTCTTGTCAACATTGGTAAGGACATTCGCCGGTTTGGAAGGTCCATGACAGCTCCAGCAGTGGCCAAAAAGGGTCGGCCTAGTATCAATGGTGTGTCACATCCTCCTTGAATGTTTATGACATGAAAGTCCACCGGGATCTTGATATCTCCAATCTCTAGAAGAACATCAATAACAACTCCTCTTGGCTTGGCTATAGTATGGTTAGCAAGTCCAATACTAATTTGAGCAGGTTGCAAGCGTGTGATGCCAAGGAGTTTGGCGGTTTGGGTTGGCATGAGGTTTATGCAAGAGCCAGAATCGCATAGTGTTCTATCAAAGTAATGACCATTTACTTGACAGGGAATAGAGAATTGACCTGGGTCTTCAATCTTGTAGAGGGTCTTGAAGGTAGGCTGAACTTTAGCTTTCTCAAAAAGCTCTCTTATGTCCTCAGGTGTCTCCTTGCAGTTGTGGAAGAAAGGTGGTGAATGGGTAGTGGCGCCAAGCTGTTTGGAAGGACATGCTGGCTGGAAGAGTTTGGACAAACTGATTGAACTCAGCAAGCTTCTCTCTTGATATGGAATTGACATACCACTTGGGTGTGGTGAGATGGTGGTGATGGTGGTTGATTGACTGCATGAGGGGCAAGGGGAAATCGAGCCTTCCTGAAAAGTTGGTGTATCTCTTCTTTGTTTTCACTAGTTGTGAAAAAGAACTCCACTAGACCATGTTTATCCCAAGCTTCTTCAAAAGTGACATAGAATGGAAGTGATTTCACCTTAGCATTGAACTCTTTAAGCTTCATGGGGCTTATCTTGTTGGGATCAATGGGATCATACTGCCAAGTATCTTCTTCTTCAGTAGGTGGTGATGGTCTTTGCATTGCTTCCAATCTTGGAAGTGTAGAAGCTTGACTTCTTGGTGAGAAACGAGGGTCTCTAGGGCTTGGTGTATCCATGCTCTGTTTTGGGGAAGCATTGATGTCGATGCTCTGCTCTTCATCTTCATCATTCAATTGTTCCTCATACTCTCTTTCTTCTTCTTCTTCACTATCCTTGGACTTGAGTAGTGCTTCTTCTTGTGATGGCATTGCAATAAAAGGGAGGGTGGTTGGGTGTTGGACTCCTCTCTCTCTTGTAAGTTGGCATGAGATGATCCTTCAAGGGCTTGTAGGCGGTTGTAGATTGATCCAAGATGTTTGCTATTGCCATAGCTAGTATCTTCAATTCTCATGCTCTTGTTCAGCAACTCTTGATATTTGGAAGCAACATCAAGCTTAACTAGGGTTAAAGATCGATCATGATCCTCTCTTAACTTCTTAATGTCTTCATCAAGCTTGATCACTTGCTTGAATAGGACTTCAGATTTGTTTCCAAGGCTCTCATGGATGAAATCGATTCTTCTCTCCATCTTCTTTGTACTTCTTCTTGATTTCTCAAGTACTCTTGAAGCATATCTTCAATCTTGGTTAGGCGCGCGGCTTGATAGCTCTCCCTTGGGAAAAATGGTGTCTTGTTTATGTCTGGTGATGATGGATGGTATTGTGAATAGCTTGGGCGTGGTGGTGGGACATAAACAGGACCTTTTTATCAAATCTGTGGAGGAAAGCTTCCTTTGTATCCATTCCAAGTCTTGAAAGCATGTTGGGCATTGAACTTAGCCCAGTCTTTGGCTTGTCCAGCTAGTGATAGTTGGAAAAGTTGTATCTTCTTGGGGTTGTCTCCAAGTCCATAGTCATGACAAAGCTGCTCAAAGTTGCATAGATGCTCCTTTGCACATTCTGAAATAGAGTTGTAGAAAGGATTCCTCTCCACATGCTTGATTAGCTCTTCATTGATGAGGATGGGTGGTATGCCTCCCCATTCTTCTTCATCACGCTCTCCTTCCAGCTGATGAGAGTAGTGGTGGTACTTGGATTTGAAAGGTGGCTTCTTGCAAACCTTTCCAAGAAAGCATCTCTAAAATCGATCCATGACTCGATTCTAGAGGTGGTTCATGCTGCGCCCAATCTAGTGCTGGTCCAGCTAGTGATGTGCTGAATAGCATCATCTTCTTCTCAAAGTCAAAAACTCCATAGGAATCACAAGATTGTCAAAGTGATCTATGTGCTCCAATGCATACTCTGAAAACAGATCATGGAATTGATCTCTCTTCACGAACTCGATCAGCTCAGGGTTAATCTCCTCTTCTGGTGTGGCTAGAAGGTATTCTTCTTGGTGTGATGCGGCTTGGCTAGACGTCTCCAGGTCGGCTGCTTCAAGGTAAGGAAGAAGTTTCTTCTTTGTCTTCAAAGTGGATGGTCTTGGAGGACTATCCCATGAAGGTGGTGGTGCTTGAGGGCTTAACATCTCTTGTTCGCTCAAGAGGTGCTTTGAGGTGGTATGTGGCGAATTGGCATCGCCTTTATAGGGGAAGAGGCTTGTGGCTCCTTCTCCATGTCTAACTAGGAAAACCTGAAAAGCTAAAAACAAAAAGGAAAAACCAAAAAAGGAAAAACAAAATCAAAGAAAAAGGAAATCTAACAAAAACAAAAAGGAAAAGTGAAAACCCTAGACTAGCTCTCTTGCAAGAACTTGTAGGTGCGAATTGGTCCCCGGCAACGGCGCCAAAAACTTGATCGCGGGATCAGGTCTTCCCCTTTCCTATCCCTGATTCTGCAAGTGCACAGGTCAGAAGTAGTAAACGGGTATCGAACACAAGGACCAGATTGCACACTACAAGTTATGAGTTTGAGAACAAGCTAGGGCAAAAGTATAAGTTGGTTGAGTGCAGAGAAAGTAAAGCATGCAAGTAATTAAAAGTGAAGATTCAATAGGAGAGAAAGGCTAAGCAATAGGATAGTCTTGAGATAAGCAATTCAAGAAGCATGAAATCAATCAATTAGGGTTACCGCACTTAGGTGCTAATCTAGAACTTGAAACACTATGGTATGATCATTCCACTGTCGAGGCTCCGACCCCTTTGTTAATCTACCTAGTCGCTAAACTTTTGGTATGTCCCTAGGTGATTAAATCAAGCATTAGTTCGATCAAGATCAATTGTTCACAACCTACAAGTAGATCAACTGTCGCAGTCTAAAAGAGATTGCCCACCAAATACTAGTTCAGGCGAATGATACAGCACTGTCGAGGCTCAAATCAACCTAAAGGCATATGCTAATTGGCCAGATTAACAACAAGCATTAAGTATAAGCAAAGATGGAGATTATAAGTAAAACCCTAATTGTGATCAATCATCAAGCATTCATGAATGCTATCCTTTGACTTCCTATCACTTAACAAGTAAACTACTCAGACATAGAGAAGGAAACGAATTCATATTCATAAGAACAGAGATTCGAATCCTCTCTAGAAAGAGTAACAAGCAAGAACAAAGTAAAAGCAAGCAAAACTTTATTAAGATGTAAAATAGAATGTGGTCTCTCTCCTTCTTTTGAGTTACAAGGCTAAAAAGAAGTATTTATAATGCTCTAAGTATAAGAAGACGGCTAAACCTAATCTAGCTAGGTCGGCGCCGGCTTTGGGCTTGAATTGTGCGGATTGGGCTTCAAAAACGGCTTCGGGTCGACCGCGGCGTTCGGACGGTCGTCGGGACGATCGGCCGGACAGTCGGGTTTGGCTGAGTCGGAACGGTCGGGGCCGGATGGATTCACGGTCGGCCGGCTTGGTCGGGCGGATAGATTTGGCCGATGAAATCTCTCGGCCGGACGCGGGCGTTCTCCCGGTCGGACGGATGCATCGGCGCGGTACGGACGAGTTGCGCGGCCGCGAGGCGTTTCCCGGCTCGCGCGCTTGGTCGTGCGCGGCGTGGCGTGGCGTTGGCTTGGCCGACCGCGGGCTTGAGTTTCCCGGGTCGTGAGCGTGATCGGCCGAGCGATCAGTCGGACGGACACAGCTTTGGCCGAGCGCGGAACATTCGTTCCTCGGCCAGCCGGACTGCGCGTTCGGGCGCTGATTCTCGATATGGCCGTCTGGAGCAGCCTTCACTCTTTTGGCTATAACTCCTTTTCTACTCATCCAAATTAGGCCGTTCCACTTGCATTGGAAAGTTAACTCAATCAGAGCACGCAGGGAACTGGTCTTGATGAAATCCATTGAGTAGATCTTTTTCTAGCTCCATCCAAAGTTGATGCAGGGGCATTGAACTGGTTTAGAGTCCAAATCTCCTGTTTTGCTCCATAATGCACCTTTTTACCTAAAATGACTCTTTGCACTATAAATCCATAAAAACTACCTTTTAACACAAGAATCCACTAGAAAACCATTAGAAAACCATAGTAAAATAGCATAAAAAGTAGGTAAAATAGAGGTATATCAACCAGCTCGACCACCTACTCGACCATCCGGTCGAGTTCCTCAACTCGACCGGCCAAGTTCAACTCGATCGAGCTGAGAAGTCAAAGTCAAACCCGAAAAATGTTGCTTCCCCCTTACTTTCCTTTGACCCTAAACCTAAATCCTCTTGTATTTAAAGGCTAAAAGCCACAAAAAAACCACCAAACTTTAGATTACTTTTGTTTTAGCTTTCTTTTAATTTATTGTCTTTTACTTTTTAACAACTCTGAATCCAATCTTTGTGTTCTTGAAGCTCTTGCTTCTTGAATCTTAGATCTTGGATTATTTGCTTTGTATTTGCACTTGCTATTTCAAAAAAGTTGTTCATCTTTATCTCCTCTTTCATTTGATGTTTATTTCAATGCATTTTCTTGTGTTACATTCATGTGTAGTGAGTAGTTCCCATTAGGGTTTGAGATGGGATAGATTAGGGTTTCATATGCTTAATCCTTCTTGCTTATGGTCTTAATCTAGATTCTCTCTCTTTTGGATAAATCTTAAGGCTACATGACCACTACCCCTGGCTTGTATGTCATTAGGCGATTCTCCACATGGAAGTGATGGAAATCGCTGGAAAATATCCACTAAGGGCTCCAACAACCCTTGCTCTCGAAATGGAGTTCATAGGGGTTGGATGGATTAGTTTGGGCAATGATCCTATGGCCTCCAAGGTTTGATTCTCACTGGCTAACCCCCTGTTTCTGAGATCATTCCTTGGTTGATAGCTTCCACCTTGGGAAAGGGTTAGCTAGGCATTGAGAAGCCCAATATCAAGAGAAACCTTAGTACAAGGAGTTTTAAAAGCAGGATCGATTAAGTGTAGCTTCCCCTGGTGATGCGGCATCTATGGGATGAGTACAAGTAATAATTCCCTAAGACAACTAGAGTTGCAAGTGCACAACATATAATTGTAGTATTTAGGGGTCGAACCACAAGGGATTGGATTTCACACATTACATAATCATAGAGTTTAAAGATCTAAGCTAAATCAAAAGATGCAAGGGTTTGTGTTTGTTAGAACACGTGAAAAGAAAGAACAATGCAATTCTATACAAACAACATTATTGAACTATTGAAAACTCTTTGAAAACACATGCCAAGTCGATTGAAAAGTTTGTTAAAATCCGATTCTTTTGAACTCAAAACACTAAGGAAGGATTATTCCACTTTCGTGGTTCCAATCCCCTATGTCTCTTAAACCAATGGGCTCAGCTTTCGTTGGTCATTGTAGAGTGAGACATGCATTACACTCAAGTAATGATTGTTCACAAAACTCTTTAGGTCTACTTTCGTAGCCTAAAACGATTTGCCCATCAAATACTATATCCGGAGATATAACAAGCTTTTGGAGAGTATATCAACCTATAATCAAGTCACTAGTTAGCTACTCTAGCAACAAGCATTAAGCATGAATAAAGATGGAGAACCATAGGGTTTCCCCTTTATTTAACAATCGATTTTCGATGGCAATTATGTCATGTCCTCAATGAAAGGATCCATAATTCAACAATGAGTCATAGATAGTAGATGAGATCTCATGAGTCCTAGAGAGAGAGAGGCGGAGAGATATGAGTCAAACCGCCTCAATCTAGGGAGAAGTCTCTACTTCTAGACTATATAATTGAAACATGCAAGCTATATACAAATGCAAAAGAAGAAAAGAAAGAAGAAGGAGACCACCTAAGTGGCTCCGAACTTTATTGAATATAAGTGTTTCTTGGTTATGCGTCTGGTCTATTACAAGAGGCTAAAAGCAAGTATATATAGGTAGAGAGCGGGTCTAGGTCGGCAAAGTTGAGGCGCGCGAAGAGGAAAGTTTCCATTTGAATTAAGAACAAGGGTACATACCATGAGTTTTGCGATTTTTCCAAGGCGGCCCACCTCTCTTTGGACAATCCGATTCGCCATCCTTGACCCCTTCTAAAAGTGTGGTCTCAACTAGGGAGTATCGATCAGCCGGCTTTAGACTCTTACTCATCCCCTTGTTTTGGCACTTGTCTTTTTACTCCATGTTTCTCCTCTCTCTCTTCTCACTTCTTCAAGTTGATTCATCCCTTTTTTAGGGTAGCGAAGTATTTTTTTATTCAACTCCTTCTCTTTATTATAGAGGTTTTGCTTGGACCTTCCATAGACGCGAGTATTTATGGTGTTTGCCACCGAATCCCCGGTTACTTGGATCCATAGGTCTTCCATAGACGCGAGTATTGATGGTGTTTGCTACCGAATCCCCGGTTACTTGGACCTTTACGCTTTTTCTTTTAAATTGAAGGGGAGAGAGAGGGAAGCACGAACTCACTAAGACTTTTTCATTTGATGGAGAGGATGAGGAATCATGCCATTTGTATGCCAAGCCCCTAGCTGAGAAGATTAAGTTCATTAAGGGCGGAGTCAAGAGTGGATCCTTTTCAAGTCCTTGGAGGTGTGGGCGTTGTTGGTAGATCGATCAATTCATAGTGTCCCTGTGGTAAGATATATTGCCAAGACTGCTTCAATGGTTACTTAAACGTTAGCACAACAATGGTTAGATCCAACATAAGGTCATAATTCTTTGACAAATTTTGACTCAATAAAACGACTCAATGAAAAGCAAAAAAGAACAAACGTGTTAGTAATCCCCCCAGACTTACCTCTATTTTACATGCTTTTTATATGGTTTTACTATGCTTTTTATAAGGTTTTTAATGGCTTTCTGATCTAAAAAGGTAGTTTTTATGGATTTATAGTACTTAGAGTCTAAACAGGTCAAAAGATGCATTTTGGAGCAAAACACATGATTTGGACTTCAAGACAGCTCCAGGACGTAGCATCAACTTAAGAAGGGCCTTAAAACCAATCTACTCAATGGAATTCATCAAATCAGTTCGAGGCGATGCATACGTGAGTTAGCTTTGCAACGCAACTGGAATCACTCAGTTTGACCGAGTAGATTGGGAGATATCTCTATTTCCCTGAGACATATACGAGGGAGCTTAATCGGACTGCATCAGTACATCAAACGGGCAGCCGCGGCTTGGACCCTTAAACTCAATGGATTTCAATGAAACTTGATACCAATGCCGTTGGAAGTATGCAATTTGGATAAGCCGTTTAGGAGATATCACGTTTGTACTGAAGACTGGTTAACAGCCGGCCGAACGCACTCGGCCGGACAGGAAGGGAATTGGCTTCGCTCGGCCTTCTCCAGGACGGATCCGACCGCACGACCGCACCGTCCGAGCCGGGAGGCAATGGACCACGATCGACCGAGAACATCACATCACGGCCGACCCCGACGGGACCCGGGAAATCCCTTGCACGGTCGACCCGATCTCCGCGAACAAGAAGCCCACTTATGCAGTTTTGACAATTCTCAGCCCAATTAACCTAAACCGACTTGTGAAGACCTAGGGCACTATAAATACTCTTTTTTAGCCTCTTTAGAAGAGAGAGCCGCATAGAGAGTCACAAGAGAAGAGCTACAAGAGAGAGGCGCACTAGGGAGCTCCCCTTAGAGGGATCTTCCATTGTTTTACTTCTTTCTCATTGTTTTCCTTAGGGAGAAGATCCCTTCTTTGTATCTCGACATAGAGAAGCTTTCTAAACCCTTTTCTCTTATATTAATATGATTTCTATCTCAGATCTATGCTTGTTTACTTGCACCATGTTTGAGTAGATTTCTAGTTAGGTTTTAGGGTTTCAAAGAGTTCATGTGTTGATTATGATTTGATGAATTAACTAGGGATATCATTAGAGTCTTTGTCTCATTTTGCACACTTAATTAATGCTAATCACTTTACCGTACATCTAGTGATTCGATCTTAGGTTGATTTGAGCCTCGAAAGTGTTGTATCATTCGCCGGACATATTCTTTGACAAGCTAGGTTTCTTAGACTGCGAAGTTGATTTACTTAACCTAGTGAACTGTATCCGAACTTGCTCGATCTAATGCTTGATTTAATCACCTAGGGACATACCAAAAGTTTAGCGACTAGGTAGATTAACAAAGGAACCGGAGCCTCGACAGTGGAATGGTTTTACATTCGTGATTGGTGTTCTAGACGGATCTTACATCCCATATCCCTAAATAGATATAAATCAATCATCAATCTTATCATATATGAATCTCTGCGAATTACCTATTGCCTAGCGTCTTTCCCACATTGAACTTACACCGCTTTCATATTGCTTTCTTTTAGTTTAGTTCTTTTGCATACCAAAACCCCAATTCATCCTTTTGTCCTAGCTAAGTTAGACTTGCATAGCTTGTAGTGCACTTATCTGCTCCTTGTGTTCGATAACCCGTTACTACACCTGACCTGTGCACTTGCAGAATCAGGGATAGGAATAGGTAAAACCTGATCCCGCATCAAGTTTTTGGCGCCGTTGCCGGGGAGCAATACAGCTGCCTACGAGTTCCCAAGAATAGCTTAGTCTAGGAATTTAGTTTTAGTAGTTTTTTTTTTTCTTTCTTTTGATTTTTAGTTTTAGTTGTTTTTCATTCTTCCTTTGTTTTAGTTTTTGTTTCAATTTGCTTTAAGCCTTTATCTTTGTGTGTTTCAGGTGCAAACTTGATTATAAGATGAAAGCTATGATCTATGGCCAGACCCAAGATCATGTCCTACTAAGGCGTGCCCCTTACTACCAAGAAACCATTGGAGATTTTGCATGGGAGCAATCACAAGAAGTTAACTATCTTGATGACTTCATCCATCCTCCTGACTTCCAGCAGCAATCACCACGGTTTCACCATCAAGGAAGTCAATTCCAACCTATGCAGCAGTACAATCAAGAAAGCATGTACCCAATGAAGCAGCCTTACAACTTTCCTCCTAGCGCACCTCATCCGGTTCAGCAAAATAGTGTGATTCAAGCAATGCTTCAGCAGATTGTGGATGATCAAAAAGAGTTCACTAATGAATTGGATGAGAGGATGGAAAGCTTGTTCAACAGTTTCATTGACAAGAACGAGTCTCTTGCTTGTCAAATCAAGAAGATTCACACCCATGTTGATCAAACCTATGAAGATTTGAAAAGACAAGAGATGGAGGAAACAAAAGCTTTCTGTGAATTCATCTCTAGAAGGGAAGCTGAGTTCGTGCCAACCCATAAACCACCCCAGACTGCTGTTAACTTGGCTACAAGACCAGAGCAAGAGCATTACTCTTTGGACTCAACAAGAGGTTACAAGCCGAAGCCACTAGAGAAGATCTCTAACCCGGAGAAGCTTGATGTACCTTGCATCTTTAATGGAGTTTTGTTCAAGGATTCCATATGTGATACAAGATCTCACATCAACATCATGAAAAAAGGAATAACCAAGAAGATTGGGATTGAAATCAGGGATCCCTCCAAGATACCAATGCGGTTTAAAGATGACCCTTATACTCTCTTCCATGGTTTCATCTCGAATCTTACACTATCCATTGGAGATCACGTCTTTAAGGCTGATTTCCATATATTAGAGATGAAACAAGACCCTGACAAGCCATTGAGTTTTGGTTCATCATTCCTTGAAGCCAATGGAGCAATCTTAGATCTTCAGAAGCAAAGAATCTCTCTCTCCAAAATCAGTAAAGCCATGTCCTATCCGGCGGTTCCTATCAAGAGCTCTCATTATGCAGATGTGTGCGCTAGAGAGGAACCACTATCAGAGCCTTATAATGATCAAGAGGAGTTGATAGACGTCATATCAGCAGCCCCTCTCATCATACCTAAGGAAATTGCCATACCGGCAAAGGCCAACTGCATTAAGGTTTCAAGTGTCTTAAGCAAGATTTTGACACCAAGGGAGTACAAGGAGGACGTGATTGATGCCACACCACAGCCTATAAGAACTTCAAGATGCTTCTCTAAGTTCAGCTTTGATTTCCAGAATAAGGAAAACAAAGAACCCTTCAAGGATGGGCTGCACAAGAAGAGGAAACTCTTTACTGGTGGTATTGTTTCTTGCAACTACATTCAAGACCTTCAAGATATCCATAGGAGGAGTTTCAAACCGTCAGGTCCAGAATGTAGAGAAGCTAAAGGAGCCTCAACTCTTCTACTTGATCAATTGGTCAATTAGAAAGAGAAAGAGTCATGCTAAAAGACTTTAAACAAGCGCTATATGGGAGGCAACCCATAATGTGTTTTCTTTTCCCTTTTTAATTTTTGTTTTAGTTTAATAGTTTTTGTTTTGTTTTTGAAGTTTTGGATACAGAGATTTGAGAATCTAGCATGAAATTTGAGAAGAAACCTCGAAAAATGAAGAAAGGAGACAAAACCATGAAAGTGTCCCACCCAAAGTCCCACCCTTGTTCAAGGCGAAATCTCCACTACAGGTAAGTAAATTCTTCTCCAATATTTCATTCATGACCACTATTAATCTCTATTCATGAGCATTTGAACCATTGCACTTCATTAGTTACATTTCATGGTCTAAATCGCTTTAAAACTTCATGGTTATTGAATGAAATATATCTCTACTTGTCAAACTTATATGATGCAATGAATTCACATAGACTAAACTATAATTTGAAGTTTGGGATCACTAACCAAGACCCAAAAATATGTTTATAGTTTTTACCTTAATCTCTTGGATTGTGAACTTCAAGCTGGTTACTTGAGGGTCTCAATCTAAGAACTATCTAATCAGTGATTTCAAGTATTTTGCAAGGATTAAATTACTTGACAGGAAGGATATCAAGAAGAAATGCTATAGCCGACCACAACCATCATACCTATGGAGGTTTAAGGAAGGTTTTAAAGGAGGAACATACCCAATCCCAAGGAACAAGGCGCGCACCACATGGCAAAGATAAATAAGAGTTAGAAAATCACTTTGGTCGAAGAACATCTCAATTGGCCCGAGTGGATTTGAAGAAATTCCATCCGGCCTATTTCTCTCGGCCATGGCACATGCATGGAGAACCAATCTCGGCCAACTCCTCAACCGTATGTTCAAAGTCCACCAAACTTCATAGACGACCATAAATTGGTCGGCACATCCAAAAGATAGGACGGTAAAATGTTCACGGTTCGGGAGATATATAGAAGAGCCCCATCCGGTCGTCCGCGGTGCAACCATATGGCCGACAAAACCAAATCAAGGCATAGGCGCGAACTCCGGATGGAAATGACTTCCTGGAGCTGCACTATCACATTTCCAGAGGAAGATCACAAAACGAACGAGCCAAACTCAAGGATGGCCAAGAAACCTCTTCCCGGAGCCATATTGACCACTTTGTGAAGGATCTCTCAGTCCACTCGCTCGAATGCTTGAAAACTTCACCAGAGGCCATCAAATATGAGGTTGGTCGATAAAATTTCAATATGGGTCGAGGAATTCATTATAGTTTGAGCTGTAGTCCATAGCACTACCCTCCGGTCGACCGAAATGTCCCATCTCGGCCAGAACGCAACCCGGAGTGAACCAAGCCCTGAAACTGAACAAAGGTCAACTACATACCACCACTAGATTGTTTCTTCATGGACTTAATGTCTAATCAGGTTATATCTTTCTTCTCATTCATTCACACATTATTACATATTTCTTTTTCCTCCCTTAATCGGATTTGCTTTCACCGGGACGGTGCAAGTTAAGTCTGGGGGGA